CCTTTCCTCCCCTCCCGTCCGTGCGGCTTGTCTGCACATATTATTTGGCAGCAGATGGACGGCTTCTCGTTGCCGGGCCCAGTGCTGGGATTGCAGAGCCTCCGTGAGGAGTTGCGTCTTTTGCTCCTGGCCGCCCTCCCTGTCCTTTGGCATTGTGGACGGCGGTCAACGGAGAGGAATCATGTTGCCAAATAGTTTCCATATGTCTAAAAATATGTGTTGAGCATATCTTGAACATGTAATACGCATGTGATAAACAGTTTAGAACATGTTACATACATAGTCAAACCATGCTTCAGTCAACGCATAGTCAGGGTGTCCATCTTCCTGCCACCCACAACCTTAGCATCTTGATCCCTTCCCTGGCATCGGTTGTGATTTTAGCGATTGGCGCGTGGAGGACGAGCACTGTGCCCCGACTGCGTGGCCAATTCGCGCTCCTCGGGAGTGGCGCAAAGGTGGGGGGGGAGAGGCAAGGGCGGGGTGTAGAGAGGTGCGCCTCTCGTGCGCTTTGAGGGGCCCTACAGGAGCCCTCTGGGGCCCCAAACAAAGGGGTACGGAAGGTGCACGCTTCTCCGCCCTCCCTTGCATCGCCCCCCTCGAAAGTAGCGCCCGCGCGGTTGACCGGTGCGCCTCACCCTGTTCTTCTCGGAGCTGCCTCGTCGGAGGCAGGCCAATCCAGCATCCAGCGCACAAGCTGGCCGAGGCCCCAGGAGGCTCCAGGAGGCCCCAGGAGGCCCCAGGAGGCCCCAGGAGGGGGAGGAGGAGGAGGAGGAGGAGGAGGAGGAGGAGGAGGAGGAGGAGGAGGAAGAGGAGGAGGAGGAGAGGAGGAGGAGGAGGAGGCGGAGGAGGAGGAGGAGGAGGAGGAGGAGGAGGAGGAGCAGGAGGCGGAGGGGGAGGGGGAGGGAGGACGAGGGAGAAGGAGTATGAGGAGGATCAGCATGAGGAGGAGGAGGAGAAGGACGCATCCTCCCAGGGCCCGTTTTGATCCAATCGGTCCGATTCGAGATCGGCTCCGGCCCGCCCGATTCGATTCGCTTCGCTTCTCGGCCGATCTGGTGCGGCCCGATGCTTGGCGTGGTGGCGTTGTGCACCGTGGCGCCGCCGACCCGATGCGATCCCGGCTCCGTCCCGATGCGGCCCGATCCGGCACAGATTCTGATTCGATCCGACTTGCCGAGTCGTATCCGACTTGCTGACGGATCCTGCCTTTCCCCTTGTTCGGTGGCAAACTTAGTTGCCTCGATACGCCCGTTTCGAAGCGCAAGTGTTCAAGACGTCCGTGTCAATACGTTGCGTGCTATTGGACCACGTTTTGGCGAGTGTATCGCGTCGGACCTACGTTTTCAGCCTACGTTTTGAGCTCCGTATCAATACGATACGTGTTGCGTGTTGCGTATCGTGGCAGCTAAGGTTGCAAATCATGGGAGCCTGGTATACCCCCTTAATGCCGTCTTCAGCGTCGATCAGCATCGATTAGCGTCTGGAGTCGATGAGGTAGCGCCGACTTAGCGTCGACCAGCGTCGACTCACGTCGATTTAGCGTCGATTAGGCGTCGATGAGCGTCGATTTAGCGTCGGCCAGCGTCGATTTGCAAGAGCCGACAAGATGGTATGGGAGGCTCCCAGGAGTTGCCACCGAAGCCTTGGCTTCTGCACGCCTCCCACTCTAGGGGAACGAAGAATGACATGAACATGCAATTTCGGAGGTCCGCGCGGACCTCCGAGTTGTTACGTGTATGTCATTGTTCGTTCCCCTACATATGGACTCCTCCCAAGCTGCTCCCCCCGACGAGGACGAGGACGAGGACGCAGACGACGACGACGATGACGACGACGACGACGACGACGAAGGCGACGACGACGACGACGACGGCGACGGCGACGACGACGACGACGACGACGGCGGCGCCCCCGAGCCGGCCGCCCCGGACGGAGGCCCACGCCGCCCAGAAGCTCCGCGCGCTGCCGCACGACCAGGCCCCGTGGGGGGAGCCCTCCATCGTTATGTCGGGCCTGTCCCCCTATCGGAGTCCTAGAGATTGACATCAACACCAAGATCGGCGGTGTGCCTCCACCGAGGGAAGACGATCCCGATCTCGGTGATGGTGGTAATATTCTGGCTTCGAAGGTGACCGAAATATTGCCACCAACACCGAAATCTAAGATCATCATTTCCCTGTGGAGGCAAACCCCTGTGCTGGTGTTGGTGCCAATTTCCAGGCCTCCAACCCTACAGGGGGATTTTCGACGAAAAATAAAAAAATACCCCCAACATGCCCCAAAATGTTCAAAAAGATAGTCAAAAAATAGTCCCGGGACTATTTTTGGACTGTTTTTGTATTATTGTTGGGGTATTTGTTTATTTTTCGTCGATAATCCCCCTGTAGGGGGACAGGCCCGACTTAATACTATATGTGCGTCGCCCCCCTGGGAGCGGTGCGCGCACCGAGAAATCCTATTAGTATATGCGTCGTTGCGGGCGCTCTCTGGCCACACCGCTCGGGAAACGATATGTACTACAATATGGGTATACTATATGTCTGGGTCGGGCGCGCACCTCCAAGGAGAAAATATACTACTAGTATGTGTTTGTGCGTCCCACTCTATGCGGCGGAGCCCCCAAGAGGCGGCGGCACCGGTACGGTTTCGGGTGTTGCGCACGGGCCATCGCCGAGCGCGTTTCACTGCTCGCAGAGTGCCTAACTACTCGCAAACCTCCGAGGAAAAGTATGGCTTTTTCTCTGCGTGCTACCCCCCGCGGCGGGTCTGGGCCATGTGCGAGGAGTTGAGCTGCGAGTGGTGGAAAACGCTCTTGTCCAGGCGAGCACACCGCCATGAGCAAGGGCACCCTCGAGGGCGCGAAGTTATTCGCGCTTCGCGGTTCGGCTCCGATTCCTCCTCATCCTCCTCTTTTCCCCTGGGAGGCGGCGCGAGAGCGCGAGGTGATTCGCACTTCGCGCTTCGCGCAGCGCGAAGCGCGAAGTTGGGAGCCCTTGCTGAGCACAAACTTTGGGCGCTCCGCGCGGATCCCTCGGACCCGCGCCAAGGAGGCCCTGGCGCCCTCCGGCGCCGCCCCGTGCGCGGCGCGGGGCCAGCGCAGGTCCAAGAAGTCCGCGCGGAGCGCCACAAGTTTTACCTTTGTTTTTTTGTGGCGTACACGCCGGTCGTTGAAAGTAGGTATTTTTGGATTCCCAGATCCCAGTTTTTTCAAGCGCCTTCCTACTTCAAGAATCGGCATGCTTTTGCTGTGTTTTGTTCTTCCCCGGGAGGGCCTGGACCCAATCCACTATGTCCGCCTTCCTACTTCATGCTTCTACCTACTTCTTCCGACCGACTTGTGTGTTCTTCGTCTATCCAGGTGCAGCCGGTCGTTGACAGTAGGTATTTTCTGGTTTCCTAGATCCCAATATCTACTTCAAGTGCCTGCCTGCGTCAGACCTCGAAATGCCTGTGTTCTGTGATTCTCTGGGAGGGCCTGCGCCCAATCTACTCGATCCGCCGTCCCACTTCGTGTCTTTACCCACTTCGTCCGACCGATGTGTAGTCCTGGCAGGCCTCAACAGCCGAATAGTCCGGGGCGGTCTCAACACCCTGGCGCCGCTTCCAGCGGCGCCACTGGGGCGCTCCGCACCCGAGGGTTCAGGCGTCGAGACCGCCCTGGAATACTTCGAGCGCCTGTTGGGGCCAGCTGGGACTACTCGGTGGACCTGTTGAGGCCAGCTTGGACTACCTGTGGGGCTGTCTGTGCGCAGCCCGAAACCTTCCCGGGCGCGAGGGGGGCAACCTTCTGAAACAACAGGGGGGGTGCTAGACGCCGTCAGGCACTTCTAACCCAGACATGCGATGTGATGTTCCTGTTCCATACGCGGTCCCCGGATGTCCCGACCCTTTCCCAAGTACGGGTTTTTCATTTTCAGTCGCTCCTTTATCCTCCTCTTCCTCCTCTTCTCCTCCTCCTGATCCTGCCCCTCCTCCTCCTCCTCCTCCTCTTCCTCCTCCTCCTCACGCTCCTTCTCTTCCCTCCCTCCCTCCCAGGGCCCGGAAGGGCCGCAGATGTGAACGAGACCACTGCGGGAGGTTCGCGGCCGTTGCAGGTCACCGGGAGCTTTGGGAAGGCCTTGCGGACCGTGACATAAACGATTCGGGGTGAATAGCCTGTTTGGGGGAGGTCGGGACTCGGGGCTCACGCAACGAGGGGCATCGCCGACGGGGGTCAGCCACTCCCCGAGATCCTTGGCTGACAACCCAGAGATCCAAGGCATTGAAAAAATCAAGGCGGAGGTTTTTCCTAAATTTCGGCCCCTTAGGGGCCCTCGCAGGGCCTCGGGAGCGTTAAAAAACGACTCAGGATGAAAAACCGGTCCTGGGGAATGGGTCGAGACTCCCGGGGACCGCGTATGGAAAAAATCACGACGTCGGATCTTTGGGAAGCTACCTGGAGCCGACCCCGCTCCCCCGCCATCCGCTGACCCTGGTTTGGGAGCTATGTTTATGTCGGGCCTGTCCCCCTACAGGGGGAATTCGACGAAAAATAAAAAAATCCCCGAAAATGCATCAAAATTGTCAAAAAATACCCCAAGAATCGTCCCCAGACTATTTTTGGATTATTGTTTGACCACTGTTGGGCAGTTTTTTATTTTTCGTCGAAAATCCCCCTGTAGGGGGACAGGCCCGACTTAAAGCTGTGTCGTGGCGGGCCTGGGCTCGCGGCCGGGCCCTGGCTGACCTGGGCGAGAGCGTCCCCAGTGGAGACTTCCCGGGGCCGCCCACTGAAACAGAGACAATCGGGGGCGGCAAAGAGGGGGGTGATGACTAGGGGGGGGTGGATATCATGGCTGGGGCCATGACATCTCCCCAGATTTCATGGGGCCTCTTCTTGTTTCATTGCGTCCCTGGCCCCCCCCGCTGGGCCGCGCACATGCCGCCGGTCATGATTTGCACGCCCCCCCTCTTGGACACCCCCTCTTGGCCGCTCTCGAGACAAGCCGTAGCTTTTGTTCAGCATGGGCGATCCTGCTCGGCTTCGGGCCACGGGGTCCTCACGGATCGGCCTGGCCCGGAAAAAAGATGCGGAAAGACGGGGCCTGGGGCTCCGGGTCGCAGGGTCTCACGACGTTGCACTTTTCTGGCGACGTCGGATCTCGGGGAAGGTCGAGCCGCCAGTTCTGGCCCCGCCGCGCTCCGGCGCGACGCGCCGTCCACGCCCCGGCCCCCGGGCCCCCTGTTCCATGAGCCTTAGGTCGGGCCTGTCCCCTTACAGGGGAATTTTCGACGAAAAATCAAACATACCCCAAAAATAGTCAAAAAATAATCCAAAAATAGTCTGGGGACGATTTTTTTTGTTGTTGTATTTTTCGACCTTTTTGGAGCATTTGTGGGGCATTTTTAATTTATCGTCGAACATCCCCCTTTAGGGGGACACGCCCGACATAGCATGAGCCTGTGCCAGCCTCCCGCGGGGCGGAGCAGAGTGGAGCGACACGCCATCCGCCTGCAGGGCATCGCGTGGCGCCGGGGCCGCCGCCGCCACGCGCTACGGTGAAGTCGGGCCTGCTCCCTCTACGGGCGGACTAAGCGAAAACAGTAAGCAAACTAGCCTGGGGAGGGCTATTTGGTTATTTTCGATTGATTATAGGATTGTTGGATGTTTTTCGTTTTCCGTCCACAATCCCCCTGCAGAGGGACATGCCCGAGCTGACCGTGCCTCGCGCGCCGCGCGTCGCGGCCGGGGCCGGAGCGGCGGCGCTTCTCCAGGGGGTGGCGGCGCGAGGGCGCGAAGCGATGCGCGCGGGGCGGGGCGCGGGGCGCGCCGTTGGGTGGCCCCCGGGTGCTCGTCCACGCCGTCGCCCTCGCGGCCGTGGGCAGAAGTCGGCAAGTCCCTCCACAGGAGGAATGTTCAAAAACAGTCCACAAATCGTCTCGGGGCGACTGCGTCTAGCATGTTTTGAGCATTGTTCGACTAGTTTTGGGGGGTGTTTTCTGTCGTTCCAGATCCGCTGTGGGAGGACACGCCCGAGCTAACGGCAGGGGGAGATACAGGCATCGGGGGGGATGCATCGACCCGCCATCGCCCATGGATCGTCGGCCCCGCCCAGGAGCGTGCGGGTTCGCCCTCGCGGGCCCATCGCCGATTCGTCGGCGAGGCATTGCCGATTCCAGGCCAGGTCGACGTGTCTCCCCACCCCCCTACGCTTAAGTCGGGCGCGTCTCCCTGCAGGAGGAATATTCAAAATAGTCACGTACAAAAATATGTTTGAGTACGATGTTGCTAGTATTTCTAATCATTTTTGAATATTTGTCGTCGGCCTGCAGGAGGACATGCCCTACCGGACCCCACGCCAGCAGCTCCAGACCAGCGGGGGGTGGGGCACTCTCGGCCCTCAAGAGGGCTCGAGAAGGCACCGCTCTCGCTGCTCCATTCCTCTTTTTGCTCCACTCCTTCTCCTCCTCCTCCTCCTCCTCCTCCTCCTCCTCCTCCTCCTCCTCCTCCTCCTCCTCCCTCCCCCTCCTCCTCCTCCCCCTCTCCCCCTCCTACTTCCTCCTCCTCCTCCTCCTCCTCCTCCTCCTCCTCCTCCTCTCCTCCTCCTCCTCCTCCTCCTCCTCCTCCTCCTCCTCCTCCTCCTCCTCCTCCTCCTCTTCCTCCTCCTCCTCCTCCTCCTCGGGCGGAAGCCAGCCTCCTCCTCGTCCAGCTCCCCCGTTCGCCCGCCCTTGCCCCTCACGGCCGTGGCCTCGCGCCCGTCGCGCGGGGCGCGCTCGCCCCGAGGGGGGCGCGCCTCGCCGCCCTTCGCGGCGCGCCTCGCGCCCCCGACGGCGGGCGGCGCGACGCAGAGACGTCGGGGGCGGCTCTCCGCCTGCGGAGGCTGCGGGAGGATCGGCGCGGAGTGCTCCGCCGCGCGCAGAGGGGGGAGGGGGGAGGAGAATGAGGAGGAGGAGGAGGAGGAGGAGGAGGAGGAGGAGGAGGAGGAGGAGGAGGAGGAGGAGGAGGAGGAGGGGGAGGGGGAGGGGGAGGGGGGAGGGGGCGAGGGCTTCTTAGAAGCGTCCCTGCTCCTCAGAAGGGGCGGCTTGGTCTATGTATGTGTGGCCCGGCGCCTGCTAAGAGGCCGCCTCCTGCTAAGAGGGACCCCCCCCTCCCGCCACCCCCCTCGTGCGCGCCGCCCAAGTGCGGCGGGAGCAGAAGCGATACGCCAGCAGTCTGGGCTTACGTCGGGCACGTTTCTCTCAGGAGGGGAAGAACCACACATACACAATTAATCGTCGACCCCCCAGAAAATATAGGAAAATATGGGAAGTGGGGGGGAAGACAACAGTCCAGAAAATATAGGAAAATATGGGGAATCCTTTTATTTGTGTGTATTCATTTGTGTGTCCTTGGGCCCCTTGATTCTCGACAGGAGGAACATTCAAAGGGTATTTGAAACAGAGTATGGGCCTATCGCGAGAGCATGCAGGCCGGTGCCGCCGACCCTGGAGGCCTCGGCCCTCGACGGCAAGGGGGCGGAGAGGGCGGGTCATGGGCCCCGGGAGGGTGGCATTCTGACCCGGGACCACCCCACGGGACCCTCCCCGGGAACTCATGACAGACAATGTGGGCACACTAGTCCGCCTGCATCGCCATTGCACGGGGAGGTGTTCTGTGGAGTGCCACCGGGCGCCCTACTGTAGGGTGTCGAAGGGGAGAAAGTGATCGTCGAGAAGCCCGCCAGTGCGCTCCTCATTGGCCCTACCTATGACCGTGACTTCAGTGACCCCCTCTCGGGACCTCCCCCCCCTTCCGCGGGGATGGGATCAAAGGGAAGGGGCTCCCCTTCGACTCAATGACAGCGTCGCTTAATTTCGCTCTGGATGGGCTGGTGTATTTCGCTTGTTCGCGTTTCCGTTTGACTATGTTGTAAGTTTGTGCTTACCTTCTGTTTGTCTTCCAGAATTCGCCTGTAGGAGGACTGAGGACATGCCCGACCGCTCGACCTAAGTCTAGGCCTCCCAGATGGGGTCCGAGTAGATGGGGTCACAGGGTCGCGCCACATCGCCGCTGCATCGCCGATGTGGCTCAATGTGCAGGCCGATTTGCTTCACGTCGACGTCGCCGATACGTCGCCGATGCATCGCCGATGCATCGCCGATGCATTTCCGATGCATCGCCGATGTGTCGACGATGCGGCGCGATCCTCCGACCCGATCTACTTCGACCCCATCCAGGAGGCCTCTGCAAAGGCTTGGCGTCAGGGCGTCAGGAGGCAGAAGCAGACGGGCCACGGGGTAGCGTGAGCCTGCAGGCTCTGCACAGCTTCGGGGGCTCCCTGGGCCCCCCGCAGGCCCATGGGGCCGTCGAAAGACGAGTCGGGGTGCAGCTCTCTTCCCGGCGCGCACCAATCCGCCAAGGAAATCAGGCTCCCAGAGACCAGGACACAGATAAACCAGGACACGGGAAACCAAGGAAACGGCTCCTTTTTCTGCAAGTTTACATGTTTCAGCACCCGTGCATTCTTTGTTTGCTACACTGCAGGATTCGGGCTTGTGTCCGGGTTTAGCGAGGTGTTTACAGGCTTTAAGGGCCTGTGCCCGGGTTTATTGTGGAAGCGCTGCAGTGCCTTGTCTTGTTCGCGCCGCCGTCTGGAAACATTGGTTTATCGAGGGATATCGGGTGTCCGGGCTTAGCCTGTCCGGGCTTCCGGGGCCCCGAGGAAAGGTGGTATGCCCGACGTGATCCAAGCAACGTTTTGTGCCATCGAACCAGTCTCCAGCGCGAGTAGGCATTGCAACGGCAAGACGCGCATTCGGAGATGCTCACAGCGACTGGCTGGCTCCCCCGCGCCCGACCGCGGGGCGGGCGCCGAGGAGGAGGAGGAGGAGGAGGAGGAGGAGGAGGAGGAGGAGGAGGGAGGAGGAGGAGAGGAGGAGGAGGAGGGAGGAGGAGGAGGAGGAGGAGGAGGAGGAGGATAGGGGAGGAGGAGGAGGAGGGGGAGGAGAACGAGTCGGGAGGCAGGAGCTGTCCATCCGGAGGACCCCCGGGGGGCCCAGGGCCCGCTATGACCTCGAGAGGCCCTCTGCCTTCTGCCTGGCGACCTGCCGTGCGGTCTGTCCTCCGCGCTGCTGCTGCTGCTGCTGCTGCTGCTGCTGCTGCTGCTGCTGCTGCTGCGCCCATGCCTGCTCCCCCAAACCCCTACCTTCGGGCCGGGCGAAAGGGGGGGGGATTGGGAAAGGGGGGGTTACGAAATTTGCTGCTCGGGTCGGGCGAAAGGGGATTGGGAGAGGGGGGGTTACGAAATTTGCTGCATGCAGCTGGTTTCGGCCTCACCGAGGGGGGCCCATTCCTCGATACATAGCCGCCTCCGGCGCCGGGAGGCGCCGGGAAAATCAGCTACGTGAGCTGATTCTCAACCCCCCCCCTTTGCTATCCCCCCCCTTTCGCCCGACCCGATACCTTGACGTCGGGCCTGTTCCCCTACCAGGGGGATGTTCGCCGGGAAATCATACATGCCCCCGGAAGGCCCCCCAGAATGGCCAACGATTTGTGTTTCAAGCATCGTCCCCAGACTATTTTTTGGGCTTTTTTGAGTGTTTGGGGGTATTTTTATTTTCGTCGAACATCCAGGGGGACAGGCCCGACTTAACACTACCTCGAGAGTTGCTTCTATCCTCTGGCGCGCAGCGGTCGCTGATATCCCGGGCAGCCCTCGCCCCCCAGGGTAACCGCAACGATCGTGCCATGGGAGGGGGGGGGGCGGGCCCGGCTGGACATCCCCGCACGTGTTGGTGCTCGCGCGCGTGTTGTGGAGATCGCAGCGCACCCCCGCCGTGATGTGTTCTCCCCTCCCAATTTTCTCCGCCACCCGGGGCCCGCCCCGGGGATAACGACCAGCAAGACAGCTGCTTCCTGCCAGGCGAGGATGGTGTGCTCCCAGTCTCTGTCGGGCGCCCGGGACAAGACGGCCGTCATCCTGGGCAGGATCCGCAACATGACGAGGTCGAGCAACTCGTACTCTTCCTCCTGGCAGGCGGGCTCCTCCCGCCCGCCTCCCTCCCCTCGGCGGTGTTGCACACACAGTTCGGCCACGCGCTGGGGTGACCTTTCGCCGGAGTGACCTTTGATGCGGGTGCACTGGGGCCCTTAGATTCGGGGGCGACGATGGGGGCGAATAGCCAAGGAGAGAACAATACAAATATCCAGGGGCGCCGATGGTCCATGCCTTGGGCGAGGCTCCCGGGCGAATACGTGTAATGCCCGCCCCTGGGCTATTCGCTCCCATCGTCTACCCGATAGATGACGGAACGCGATGCGATAGCAGCGTGCTGCGCGCTCGGGCCCAGCCCCCCCCGGCGGCCACTGAAGTTGCGCACCAAAGGTCGCTCTTGCCTAGGGCCGCTTTTGCGTGTGGCCGAACAGCTGACGCGAGCTCCAGTCGACGATGGACGCTCGCTCCACACCCCTCCTCCCTCTCCTCCTCCTCCGCCTCCTCCTCCTCCTCCTCCTGCTCCTCCTCATCATCACCAACGCTGCGCGACGCGCGTCGTGTCGGCCGACGCGACCGCGGCCCGCGGCCGCGCCCAGAGGGGGTGGAGACGTCGCCGCCGTCACTAACATACCAGGAGGTCGACGGAGACGAAGGGGGACGAGACGACGACCCCCCGAAGGGCAATGGGGCCTTGGGGGCCCCCGCCGCTCCCTCCGGGGGGTCTCGCAGGCGCCGCTCAAGCCTGGTTGGCGTACCTGAGCGGCGTCCCGTGCGCGGTGCGCCACGGGGAACATGGGCTGGCACTCCTGGTGGTCCTTGAAATTGGGCTCTGATCCTGTTCTTCATGGTGTAGGCTCTGGTTGGAGGGCTGGTGACTGGTGTCGGCGTCCATCTGTATGTGCATCTGGCGCAGGTCCTGCTCGATGTTCGCCACAGTTGTGCCTCTGCCGTACCCTCGTTCCATCCAGGATTCATGAAATGCTTGTGCGATGCATCTTGATAGCTCCGACGGCATATCCCTGTTGTAGGTAAGTCCAGCGTCGGCATCATGACTGTGGTGACTGCAGCGGACGTTGTAATTCTCGGTGATCAGGGTGCTGAATCTGCTGCATGATATTTGAAGGATCGTAGTGGGCCTCTTCGTTGAGTGGCCCATCGTACAGAGGTCAATTGTAATCGTGCGAACGTTAGGTAGCCTCAAAATCTTTCGTATCTCTGGTATATTCCAGCACGATGGGGATTGCGGCTGCCAGTTTCTCCTCGGGTGTACCATCAACATGGGGATGTAGTGCCTTGCGCAGGCTGCCGCCAAGAATATGGATGCTCTCATACGTATATTGTCCAACATGAGCTTCCGTCGGTATCTCATTTCATTGTTCGGCAGACCCCAAAGGTATTGTGCCGAACGTACAGGAGGGGGTCCTTCGTGTCCTGCATGTAGGTGCTTGGTGCCACGCCAGGTCTCGCTGGGTGGTTCCGCCAAGATGCCCAAAATGTGTCCTTGGGCGATCATTCTTGCAAATTTGAGAGTATTGTTCCAATAAGTGAGGTCGCCAGCCTCTGCATCAACATCAATATGTAGTACCACACAATTGAAGTCCTGCTGCTGCTCTATCCAGTCCTGCATGTCCCCTGGTCTTCTTCTGCTTGAGGATAAGTGAAGTACATACTTGCACGTGGGCAAGTGTGTCGGTGCCATTCGCTTATCTGCCTCCTCTTCTTCTGTCCCGTCGGCGCTCGTGGCATCTGGATAGTCATAGCCGTGTCGAGCTTGTGGGAACGTCGGGGCCTGTCCAGGAGCATGTACATGGGCTTGTCGTGGTGGCTGCTGTAGCTGTGGTACTTCCTCGTCTGAAGCTTGTTGGCCGTATCCTTCTTCTTGCTGAGGACGCTGTGCTTTTCTCCGTTGTGGGGCGTCCCGTCTGACAGGTTGGATTGCCTTGGATGCACCATAGCCTTGCTGTTTGAGTGCTGCAATCGTTGCTCTGTCTTGCTCTTGTCGTTTGTGGACCTCTTCGTCGGGCATCGGCTCCATTGTGCTCTTGAGCTGCTGAAGGCATTCCGCCACTCGACGTAGGTGCACTAGTAGTCGTGGTCGCGTATGGTGTTCACTTTTGCATGCGTGGCAGTAAGTACCAGCCGCATAACGTTGTGCCGTGTCAATAACATGGTGATCTCGATGTATGTGGCCAGTGACGGTGGCAATATTGTCGTATTCTTTTCCACATATGTAGCAAAATACTTTGTGATGATTATCTCCGTCTTGGTCTGCAACTTGGGGCTCTTGTCCGTAAAGCTTTGCCAATGCCTGCTGCCATACTTGTCGGTGATGTTCGTCGTGTTGCTGTGCTCGAAATCTGTCCCACGCTTGCTTGAGCAGTCTTCTGAACGCAGCAGGGTCACTCACAATGCTGTCTATCCATGCCTGCAACGTCATGTGCAGTAACTGGTCATCTGGGCCTGCGTTCATGTGTGTTGCGATCCAAGCAAAGTCCAGTTTGAGCTGTGCCGCCCATCCACTCGCATCGTTCTCAGCCTCCCACGTACGATCCAGCATCTCAAGCAGTATCGTAGGCCCGTTCACAAGTAGCGCCACTAGGTACCTGAGTCGCCGAAGTCGTATTCCTGCTTGTAGCGGTGGCTTTTTTGCTTCATATAGTACTTTGCATGTACTTGGTCGCTGCCCATCTTCATCGGGGAGGTGAAGCCGTAGTGCCGAACGGTATGTCTTTTGATATGCTGCTTCGAGCGCTTTCATCTTGGTGTTGCTGACGTCTGCCCAGGTCTCGGCGTGGTATCCCAGGTGGACATTTATGTGGGTGTCGGCTACCTTGACTTTCGCATCACTGCTGAGTTGCAGTAGCTTGTTGATTGACTTTCGTACTGGTCCAGCTGCGTCTCGGTGCCTATTCAAGTTCCTGGCAACCTGGGTGCCCACTGAGCCATCCTTGTCGATAATCGTACCTAGATGCTTGTAGCATACTTCGACATGTACCTCTAGCCCGTATCTTCTGGAGTTGATGGTGGCTGGGGACTTGCCAAACACTTGCTTCTTTGTTAGCCCCGAGCCAGGGCCTCTGATGGATGGTACAATAGCTGTCTTGGTGCGCTTGTAGTTGACTTCGAAACCATAGAGTAGCATGGCTCCGTGGACCGTATCCGCTGTCTTCCGCATTGCCGTTATCATTGTATCATTGGGCGCCTGTACCACAAACAATGCGTCGTCGACGAACGATACGTCAGTCAATGTCCTTTGTGCTGTCCTGTGTTTGGAAAGGCTCGGGTATCTGCTGTCTCTTTCTGGAACCTCGTAACATAACCCTTGAGCCTTGAGGGCTTCTGAGGCATAATCCAGGGGCTTCGTGAAGATAACATTGAACAGGTAGTCTGCCAGTGAGTTGCCAGGTCTCGTGCTTCGCCTCGATACTGCTACTTCCTCGGTGTCGGCCATGCCAAAGTGCGTAAGCCGATGCGTCTCCACCAGTTGTTGTGCTAGGTGAGGTCGATCCTCGAGGTGTTGCATCAATACTGGTGCTTCCAGTGCCAGGCATGTGAGCGGCTTCAAGGCGTCTGGGATGTTGCACTTCTGCATGATGTATGTTATGTCTTGCTGCTCGGGGTCGTATGCCTTTGTGTCTATACCCAGCTGCCTTATAACTCTGTGAAAGGCTGCTCGCAAGTCGATGAAATACACGAACCCTGATTTTTTGTCTTGCTTGATGAGGTGCAGGAAGGTAGTGACCGTATGTCCCGCCATGGCCGTCGATCGTTTGGCTCTTCCTCCAGTCTGGGTGTCCCTCATCATGATGTTGACCATGCTTGCCAAGCTTCTGCGGAGGTACTTGTGGTAGTGCTTGGACACCTCGCTGTTGAGGAGGATCAGTCTGTAATATTCGTTCCATGCCGCCTTCTCCGCTGACTTGGCCAGGCTGATGCCTATGCCATGCTTGAATAGGAGTGGCTCCTGAAGTAGTAGCCCAGCTTTGCACATGACTGGATGATATAGTCTCGCCAGTGGTCCAGCACCAGCCTTCAGAATCCCAGCACTGACACCGTCCGTGCCTGGTGCTGTAGCCCACTTTCCATTGCTGAAACTGTGCTGCAACCATGGAAGTGGCGGAATTTGTTCCAGTTCAAGCTCGGTATGCATGGCTGCGGTGTTGACCTCGGTATTGTATCGTTCTTTTATTTCTCTGGTGCTGAACAGTGTCGCGTCCTCCTGCTTGGCAAAGTGCACCAGTCGACTGCGAGCAACTTCCTCATCGTTGTCGAGCACCGTCCCAGCATCATCCTCGTTGTATGGCGCTGGGCCTCCTGCTGGTGATCGTCTCGAGCTGCGTGATGGTATCCTTCCGCCATATCGGAGTAGTGCCCTTGTTGCTGCGCCTTCCTGCTTGCCGTCGTGGTTGGCGATGCTTCCTTGGAGTTCATTGGCTATTTTTTCTAGGTGGGCTGCTCGATCTTGTCGTAGTAGCTTGGTCAGTATTGGCTTAGTATGTGATAAGAATAGTCGGGCTCCTGTTGAGAACTCCCCTCCACTGTCGTCGTCGTACAAGTCCAGGATCATGTACATCTGTCTGGCTTCTTTAAACCAGGCATCTTGCTCGCTGGCCTTGGTTAGTCCATCTGTTGCCGAGTACTTCTTCAAGTTGTCCCAGGCTGTAGTGTCCGCCGTAGTCGTGGCGATCCTCAACGCGCGTGTGACGTACCTGCGGTACCTGACTAACTTCATGGTAGTCCGTGTAATGTATGGCTGCCTTGGTGTGAGTATATCTGGCTTGAAGATAGCTCCTGCGATACTGACCACTGCACAATTTATGTCATCCATTTGCTTGTTGGCGTCCGTTTCCCACCTATGCAGTGGAAGAGTACTCAAATGGTCGCAGAAAATCTTTTGTCGTTGACGATCTTGTAACTTCGCCCTGTCAATCGTTCTCTGGTTCGTAGCGCTTCTTCGTGGTTCCACCAATAGGCTCGTTCTGGCTACGACAGGTACGTGATCCTTGGCGATGGTGCCAGTGTCGAAGTCCTGCAGTGTTTCGAC